GCGAGGTGGCTGCTTTTGAGAAAGATCATCGTTGAACTATATGTATATATATACAAAGCCATTATTAATGCATGATAAAGCGAATTGTACTTTTCCCCGTTTCCTGCCGAACACTAGTTTTAATTTTGTCCACTCAGCTAGCATCGGTACAATGTTTTTTCTAACTCATGCAAAATGATGCTAACTGTTACTCCATTTTTCTCTACATTCAGTACATATACATTCAACGAGTGAGAATAAAATCAAGTTTCTCATTTTTTGCGTTCAAACTAAGTTCGTATATCTTTGTGTTCTCGATGCTGCAGAATCGAATCCAGCATGGTGAAAAACCTGTCGAAATATATAATTTTCGGATGACACGTTTAGACAAATACACATATCGCGTAGAAACATCTATTTTGTGGCACATACATACCTGTTACTGCAGATGCTGAAATCGTCCCGCTTAATCCATTGGAATTGCTGGTTTGTTGGCGCGCTTTAACAAAACAAAAGACATTAAGGTTGGATGTTCACCACTTCCATTCGACTTACATGACACTCCTGTCGCACTCCCAGCTGCAGAATTCGATGGTCCTAGAAAGAATTGGACAGTTGACTCGGCAGCTCTATTGGACGCGTTAGCTGGTAAAAGAACGTTTATCATAACCCTGTTTTACAGCAGATCTCGGTATCTTCTTCATTAGTAACCCTAATATATGAATACTCTAGCAGATACTAGCACTACTTCAAATCAGTCAACCTCTGTCTATTATGCCTTATTTGTTCGAATGAGGACAGTTTATACGTTTTTACCCTCTCAGCCCTATGCGCACAGTTCCGCATAATAAAACAGTTTAATTATGCATAATTAGCCGTTACGGTTTAGATTGCATTATGCATAGTATGGGGCGCATTTTGGTAACGAAAAGTCATGGGCTACGCATAGGATGGTTTCTTTATGCATAACCGCGCATAGGACTGTTTTATGCATAAGGTCCTGTGAACTATGCACGGTTATTTTTCAAAATTTGTGCAAAACTATGCTCATAGGGCTATGCACATAGGGCCCATCGACTTTTTTACATGGGGTTAGAGAATTAGATGAAGAACGAGTTTTATTTTCTCTTAGAGAAATCTTCCAGTTTGCTTGATAGAAGTTTTTAATGCCAAATGTCCAGCATTAGTAGAGTATCAAGTTTAGCTTGGGTCCAGTATTCAGAGTTAACTAAAGCTGAGCACGTGTTGCATGATGGTTAAAGCAGTCCAGTAGAAAGTTAAAGTATTGTCTCATGCTCTCCACACTGAGATATTTCTGAATCAACTAATGCACGTGTAAATAATTTACCATTTACATAAGAGCGGAAAATCAACTACGAACAGAACTGTAGGAGAAGTTTTTCAAATTCTTTCTCAATAATACTCTCTAAAAAAAGTGGGCATTTTAAAAAACCTGAAAAGGGTTTGGGAAACTGCATATATATGGAACCCTTTTTTCGCAAATATACCCCCTTCCGCATCCCCAAGGAGTTTTTATCTTTACTAAACCCTTTTTAGATTTCACAACGAAATATCTTGCAATCTTGTTGCAAATGAAATATCTATTTTTTAGAGGTTAGCTCCTTCTATTTGAAATTATATTATGTTTGCTTATAATTTCGGCATTTAATAATTCTGTTCTTATATAAAGAAGAGAAACGAATGGGCATAATAATGGGAGAAAAGTTGAGCTAAGGGCGCTTTCTCTGAAACAGCATTACTCACTTATTTATATGCGTTAAAGTGAGAAGCAGGAAAATATTTTGCTTCATTGGTTGCAAGGTAGACTTCACAAAAGGGTTTCTATCTCTTATGGCTCTTGGGTCTGGCAAATTACAAAGAAAAGCAGATAGGTCAATAAAGAGTTAAAGTGCAGAACACAAAAAGAGAACTATTCAAGTTAGTACTAATGTGATATTCTGAATGACTGGTATGAACCATGATTGAGGTATTTCACCAGTTTATGTGCTCTCTGAAAAGACAGGTAGTTTTCAAAGTCCGAACGGTTTTTTATTCTTGAAAACACTTTCAACCAAGATGATTGAAAGTGTTTTCCACTTTTGCTGCTTGGATGGATCCACTCGCAATACAAGTTGCTTTTTACTATCGTGATATTCGACATCATCGATATAAATCAAGAATAGCAGCTGAGATAAATCACCATCTTATTGAACTTACGAACTGATTTGTGAATTCCGACATGTCACACCTTCTACCGTGCTAGAAGTTATTCTATCAGTTAGATAACTCACAAACCAGCTATATAGTTCATCGCAAATACCTTTCTACGGTGATTTATACAGGAATCCTTTATGACTCTCTCTCTCTCAGAAATACATCTCAGAAACCGTAAATCCGATCTTACCAAACTTTCAGGCAATGTTGACCGTATAGTTGTACTTTTATTATGCAGGTTGCATTTTGCATAGTGCGGGGCGCATTTTGATATCGGAAGGTCCGCGGCTATGCATAGGAGGGTTTCTCTATTGATAGAAAAGCTTTTTGCGTTACCGTCCTTGGGACTCTTTTATACATAAGGTATGCATAATTTCTAACTATGCATGGTTATTTTGCAAAATTTGTGCAAAACTGTGCACAGGGGGCCCAGTCGTGTTTTTACATTCGGTTAGATAGTGAGATGAAGAACGAGTTTTATTTTCTCTGAGACGAAGCTTCCGGTGTGCTTGATAGAAGTTTTTAATGCCGGATGACCTATTGATGATAGAGAATGACTTTGTAGAAATGAAAATCGTGTTTAAAACAATTTTGCTAAATGTAAGAATGTTTTACTGGAAACTTAGCTGCTTTTTTTTGTTCTAATATTAGTTTATTTAATTTTTTCGGATACGTAAAACTTTTTTAAGACCTGAACAATTTCAGGCTTTGCTGAGTTTTTTGTGCTCGTTCGAATGATGTGTAATTTAGGTGTTGTGATCGGCCATACTGTGCAAGTGCTCCATAGCAGTGCATGGGATTGTTTTAGTTTTTCACAAGAATGGCGTGAACAATATAAGAGAGGCCATTTGGAGACGTCAAAAGTCCTCGACTGAACGTTTTGTAAAAACTCCTAGGGCTTGTCCGCTTTCCGAAGGAAAAGGAAGTTTTATGTATAAAGCTCATATACGATGATTTTTGTGGTTTCCCGAGGGTTTTTTGTCAGTAGCTCTAAACACACATTTCAGTAGCTGTAAACTTTCGATGAATTCATCGATTATTCAAGGCCAGAGCTAGGTTTTTTTTTAAAATCACCGTTTTGTTTTGCGAAGTCACATAGTATATAGTGACCATTAATTCTTTCAAAAATTTCAAAGTTATTCTTACAGGTGATTAGTAATGTGGGCGGGAAAGTGAATACTCACAAGATGGCGTACTTCTACACTTCATTTTTCTTCTTTTCTTTAACGTGCGGATATACGTTCAATTGACGGATGAAAATTCAAAACTGTTTATCTGAAGAGAGCGGAGGAAATTTTCTTTTTCTGAGAAGTCAGAAAAGCATCACTTTAACTGGACCTCACCACATAAACGATATGATTAAGCAAGGTAAGCTAGGATGTGAGAACACAAGTTAAACTGTGATAAGATCAAATAAGATAAGGTAAGGTAGAGCAAGAGAAGAGAAGTTAGTATAAGACAAGATAAGGTAAGATAGAGTAAGAAAAGTGAAGTTGAGAATGCTAAAAGCAGGGATTTTCATCTGCTCTAACAAACACGACAAGGTGCTGCATCACCTGAGCTCGACAACCAGAGGAATGTTGTTTTGTCATTCAGTCTGACAAACCACCTCCCTCTCCCCCATATCTTAACTTCTCTACCTTACCTTACCTTATCTTAACTTATCTACACTCTGAAAAAATTTAGAAGTGCCCAGGTCCACGGTCGCGACTAACTCGCGGCGCGATCGCGATGTCGCGCTAGCGATCGCTATTATCTCGCGCTTTCGCGGAGAGATCGCTATAAAGTCGCGCTGTCGCGATAGCGATCGCTGTGAGCTCGCGAAGTCGCGACGCGATCGCTGTGAACTCGTGAAGTCGCGACGCGATCGCGGTAAAGTCCTATCTTTTCAAAAAACGTATTTTAGAAGACTCGCGACGCGATCGCTATTGATTCGCTATCTCGCGTCGCGATCGCTATAAAGTCGCGTAGTCGCGGCGCGACTCCCCGAATCGCGACTTTTAATAGCAAAAATCTGCTTAGTCGCGGCACGACTCGCGAATAGGGTGTGAATTTTGCATTGAAAAATGGGAAATTAATTTTTATAATATATATATATATATATATAATATATATATATACGTTTATATCGCGTGAATAAGCACGTGGAGCAATCTATCATTTTCTAACATTTTTCTTCAAACGAAGAAACATGCTTCTTATATAACCGTATATCATGCAAAACGCAGGTAACGCACAGACGTTTTTTCAACTTCGAACGAATGTATCTAGAGAATAGTAAGAGGGAAAGACTTGTAATTGTTAACAAATATGTAAGTAAATAAGTTCTACGATACTTGTAAGTTTGAGCCTCAGCCGTCACGCTGTTTAGATTTTATGAGTAAAATACTGGTCGGTAACACACAGACAAAAAAGGCCCTCGGTTCTTGGTAGATGCGAAAGAAGTGATAAATCCTGCGAACTACTCCTTGTCAATGAATTTTGTGAGAGAGGGTTTTGTAGCTGAAAGTCAGGGCTATCTTTTGGTGAAAACTAGAGCTGGATATGTTGAAAAATGAGTGAGCTATTGACAAAACAAGAAGTAACGCACAGACATTTTGGTAACGCACAGACATGAATTTTCATAAAAATTTCCCAAATCTAAAATTTCGTTTCGAATTTGAAAATATCACTTTAGGACATCAAAGTAACAATGTTCCTTTGTATTTCAAGCATCTAGTACTAGTTTTTAATGTTTTCACTAATGCTTATACATGTTCTTGTTGGACACAAAACGGTACGTATTTTTCGCTTTCAAAGAATTAAAATCAGAAAAAAACAGTCCATTTCGATGTTGCGTCACCATACATTCGACATTCTATAACATCCTGACGAATGGCAATGACGCTGTGTAATTTTTGAGTATCTTTGACCGACTTCGTCTTCGCGAATAACTGTTGAAGTTTTAATTTTGCTGCGTCGATCTCCGCTTGTGAGATTTCATCGAGAATAATCGTGTTTGTTTTTGTCTTCGCGATGCAAACGAAATCGGTAGCTGATCGACATTGCTTCTTTGTCATTATTTCTTGCCACACCATTCGTTTCACGTTACCCCCAATAGCATCCACGACCCCTTTTCCGTGGGATGTTGCAAAAAAATTCCACGATAATTTCAAATCGTGTTCAACCATCATTCTTGTTATATTTTGAAACAGGTATCGTTGTTTAAATTGAGATGCAGCTCCATCGCTGAAGAACACAATCTCTTCTAAATCCGGAAAATATTGCTTGAGTTTACTAATGATGTTATTCAAACATACGTCCACACAATATTTATCGTGCGTAACATTGTCGGATGCCAATGCGAACGAATAACTATTCGCTCCGCACCATGCATATCCTGTAAAAATTGACAACGTCTTTGTATTCCAATGAGCCGACTGAGTAGCATCCTGCTGACCCATAGCGAAATTCTCAGCATAATCGACTTGTAGAAGAACTTTTCGATCATCCGTATTTTCTTTGAGCCGTTCAAATAGACTACTTTGAGCACGTTTGATGAATACATGTAATAAGTATTGTTGAATGAGACCAGACAAATGTTGAACACAGCCTTTCACAGTTCCTTCAAATTCTTGCTTCTCTGCACGGCCATTATTATTCGTCCATTGAAGCCATTTGATCGTCATTGTGAAGTCGACGATATTTCCTCCAACTTTTGTCTCGAAATATTTAGCACACGTCTTGCAATTGGAGGACATACATACTTCGTTCGACTCATCACACACCAAAGCACTCGTAAACGTTTGCAAATCCGAGCACACTCTACCTTTTACATGTTTCTCTAAAGCTTCCAGCAATAGATTCACATTCTCATGGTATGCACACACGCATACACGATGGCCCATTAATGCTTTGATCAGTACATATTGTGGACGTAGTTCCGCGAAACTTGTTCGAGCAATGTCTAGAACTAGAAAGAAGCTGCCTATCACTAATAAATCATGTGCTGCCAAAACGACCCGTACCAGAACCAGAACGTTCCGATAAGAACAACTGATGCACTTCACGAATGTTGTATAATAAAATTCGTTTCTGATGAGTCGATTTTGTTCCGTTCTGTCTGACAACGATCGTGTCTCGCTTTCCCGGCATTTGATACGATATGTCATCTCGACAATAAAACTTGACAATGTCATCCTTCAATTTGCATGGCAATTGACGGGTTGTACGTTTGTGAAGAGATTGACCTAATAACCCCATTGATTGAGCAATTGCTTGAATGACTAGCTTTTTCTTTGATGGATCTTGCGGAAGACATCTGGTCACTTTCTTGACAGCTTTACTAAGACTTTGCTTTGAGCCAAATGATGCACTAAGCAAAATAAAACAAGTTATACGCTTCACATTAGTGGTACACGTAAAGATAACATACCTCGACTGACGTTTGTTAGCAGCGCGACCACTTTTACGGGCTGCTGCATCACGCTTACGATACTGTTCTCGCTGGAGATCGGATAATTTACTACGCACATTTTTCATTCTTTCCCGATTTTTTGCTTTCATAGCATTATGCCGACCTTTTCTCTTCAGATTTTCTCGGTAACGCTTCTGTTTTTGAGCCGCAGTGAGCTTCATATCAAGCAAATGTTTTACAAATCGATGGATACGATAAATTTACTATATGCCGAAATAATCTAGAAGTAATAAAAGCATAGTTCCTGACGATGTTTTTCAGAAATCCCCACAAGAGCTTTTGTGTTTTTATCGTCTGCGTTTTATTCCCAACAAAGTAGTCAGCAACAAAGACCATACAGGAGTATCTCGGACTTCAAATTTCAGCTGAAATAAACAACTTTCAGATGGTCTATGTATGGATTAATATGAGACGCCCAAAAGGTCGTGTCGGTGCGTTACCAAGTTTCTCGACACTAAAGCACTTGAACCAAAAACCAATATGTGCATTGGATAGCCCATCAAAAGTAAGCAGAAGATCAATGATAGTTTAAAAATAAATAGCTTTAGTTTCGCCAAAATATTCACTAACTTGATTTTCGGTAACGCACAGACATCGATTTGTTCTAGTTTTTCGAAGGTATTTTTCTCGTAGTAAAAGCAGTCTGGAAAACTTTTAAATAGATGAGAAGAAAGCCCAGATTCTGCGCTTCAAAATTATATAAGATACTTGATGATCGTCACTTTCCTTCTCCCGCTGTATACACTTTTCTTGTAGCATGATGAATCATGCAATATTAGTAATTGATCCACCATTTTGTTTCGTCCATGTTTTTTTGTTTGGAAAGCATTGAAAGATAGAACAAAATACAGTATCCTATGCAGAAAAGTGTGGTCTACAATTTGGTATGTTTCAATTTTGCCGAATTTCAACTTCTACTTTAATCATGTTGGTTGACCGTTAGCCGTTTTGCATGTATATATATATATATATATATACTCCCGCCACGTGTATGATTGACGATATCAATGTTTTTTTTCTCATTTTAAACGAGACAAAAAAAGTGCCGGTTATATGTCACTTTATTTCTTAAAGTAGACTACTTTTATACTAGAACTTTTTGCAGTTTATATCTGCTTTTTGAACCTTTTTAAATTTGAACTAAATCATTAAAATAACCAATTTACAGAGTAAGTACACAGCAGTTGCAGTGAGTGAGAGAATAGGGATATATAAAATCCTTTCTATTTTACTGTCGCACAGTTGCAATTTTTCTCCATTCATTTTGGGTATCAAAAGTCGTTCTTCTTTCTCATGAAATACACCAAATATAGGGGCTTTCTCAGTGTATAGACTCAGTTAATGTTTGCTGTGTAAAGATCTCAAAATAAAACTGCACAGAAGTGAGAAATGCATGAAAGGTTGATGTTATAACAATTGTGAGTATCCTCGGTGTAATATCGCTTTGCCGTTAGCGACTCTCAGGATGTAGCGATGATCAGTTCGGTTCTGTTTGACGCACGGAGGATTGGGGCTCAGCCATTCCGCCTCATTCGCAGAATATTAGATTGGCTCTAATAACGAACTGATCCTAGCGATAATATCTACGGATATACATTCTCTGAAAGTCCAAGCGTG